CGAAAAATAACGCAAAACGAAATATTTTAAAATCTGTTTATTTAAAAGATCTATTGGTTTCGTAGAATTATTTATTTCATGCAAACGATCTAAGAATCTAAGAATTGATTATATTATATTCCGTATCCGGGCCATTACCTACCCGCATTAGTTATTATTTTTTTTGGCCCCATACCCGATGCCCCATACACCATACATGATAAAAAAAGTAACTTTTTTCAGAAAAAAAAATAAAAATTACTATAAAACGTAGGTATACGTGCAATAAGTAATGTCCAAAATCCTGATTAAATTCAGTTCGCTAAGTATGTATGTACCTAGGTATCGTGTTTGTATAGAAGCCACAGCGAATCAATTCTCGTGGTGAGATTTTTTCTTTTGGAGGCCCCCAGGGTATTTATGTAAGTGTAAATTGGTCAGGCCAACTATAAAAGGTTGGACCACCTTGTACCTGTAAAATACGATTGAGAACGTTATTTTTGGTAACACAATTGATCCGGCTGATATTTAATGTTTATTAAATAATATTATATATTAAAATTTTAAATTACTATTCGTCAAATAATGGAAAATAATGAAATTAAAATTATACGAAGTGAACGAGGTGAAGATCTAGTACTATTAGATAGTAATAAATATCGTTTTATTCGGAAACGTAAAGACACACTGTTGAAATGGAAGTGTTTAAATAATAAATGTACTGCAAGTATTCTATAACAGACTCAGAAAAAAAATTATTAATTCAAAGACTCGGTAAGCATTATCATTGCGATATCCCTACCTCTACTATAGAACGTCAAGAGTTGTACGTGAAAACTGCAAGCGAAAAGCCGTAGATTGTATTTCAACAAAGCCGAATAAAATAATATGCACTGAACTTTTAACAGACAATTATTCGACTCTATGTCATAAAGACTTTAGTACGATTAGGAAAACCATGTACACCGAACGAAGAAAATATTATCCACCATTTCCTAAGTCACTAGATAAAGCATTTACTCACCTTAAGAAAAATTAATTAATATTCATAATAAATATATGTGGTATGTAGCAAATAAAAGTTCAAGTAATTTATTAAAATATTTAGAGTATGTTGGATTACGCTATCCCGCTATAACTAATTTATAGGTAACTCATTTGTCATTACTTGTTACTTATTTATTACATTTTTTATACATAGGTATTTATTACATATTTTTATAATATTCTACATTTTTTACTTTTTTTTTTTACATATTTATATTACATATGACTTTTTTCAAGAATATTTGTTAAATGATAAATAATAAATGATATGGTAACGTTGCACGTAAATTCGTTCTCAATCGTATTCTTTTTTGGGTTTTTTTGGGGTTAGTGGTAAGTTCTTTTTTATTTTTAAGTGTTCTCAATCGTTCGATAGCCCCTTGTACAAGTGAGTATGTACCTATTATCTTAGTTTTCCTGTATAATAATATTATGTACCAACTGGCAACTGTAAACGTGAAATAAGCATTATTGAAATAATGTTATTGTGCATATGAAAACGATTGAAATGGGTGGTCACTCAATGTTATATAATATATTATATAAAACTATGAAAGTTATTCACGTAATTTTAGCGAGCTCCCATTTCAATTCTCAATAGTCAATATAATATACCAAAGTCAATATTGTATACCTACATAGGATTTGACGAATTCACGAGCTTCAAGCGATCTATCACCGTGGAACTGTGCTATTCTATTACTTTCGGCCGAGAGGAACAACTGAAGGGTAATGTGAAAACCGTAAAAGTTACACAACTTGATGTATATGCGAATAATAGACAGGGTCAAGCATGAAGCTTATAATAATAATAATAATAATAATAATAATAATGCATTCGTAGCTGAAAGCTTTCCTAAAAAATTTAATATTTTTATATCAACACTCACTAGTCGTACATCGGGTATAGGACTTGAGACTACGAGTCAGACAGTTGCATAAATATTAAAACACAATCATTTTTTAAATAATATTCAATGTGAATATAAAATTTGTAGTTTTTATTTTTTATACTTATATTTTATTTACTCATACAAGTTAGACGAGGTTAAATAATGTAAGTAAATAACTCGTAGGCCTTAAGTGTTAAATATTTGTTTTGTTCAGTGAATGTTATAACTACAGTCAGACAGTCTACAATACTATGAAATATTATTCATTAAGAAATAATATTGTTGTTTGTTAGTGTCATTGTCTGATTGTCATAGGCGCAATTTCAACTTTTGATTTGTGGGGAGGGCTGAATATATTAAAGGCAAGCAGACCATTGCAACACTGCATTTTAAAATTGTATATCCTAGGTTTTTTGGGGGCTAAGCTCCCCCAATTTGCGCCTATGGTTATTGTGGAATGTGAATGTATAGTGAAGAAACTAATATGGTTAGACATTATAATGAATAACCAGCTGATTACCAATCCAATACAACTCGTATAGGACAACAACTCATTGAGTCAAAATCATATAACAATATTTTCCATAAAATAAATATATTAAAACATACGGTAGCGTAGTCAGAATTATGAAATGGGGGGGGGGGTAGGTTTAAAATATGAAATAAAATTTTTAAACTTATATAATTCTTTGTATATAAATAAATAATAATACATTTATTAGGGGAAAAAATTTAACTGGGGGAGAGGTTTAAACACCTATACCCCCTGGCTACGCCACTGAATTAATTGTATGATATGAATTATGAAGTGTATATTAAAATAAAAATATAAATAATCAGTGTTGGGTAGTAACGTAACGAAAGTAACGCGTTACGTAATTTAATTAGAATTATTTCCATGTAACGAAAATGTAATGGAAATTACTTTGACAAGTAATTTCTATAGAATAAAGCGTTACAGTTTCGAATTATTAAGTAACTAGTAGTTAGTACCTACCTAGGTACCTATTACGAATTGAAAAAAAAAAATCGTCTATAATGAGGGTATTATTATGTTTACGAATCTAATATGTATTTATATTTAATTTTAACTAGCCATTATTCAGTTTTCAATGGTTTTTAATCCCTAGAACAGTTAATTCAATTTATTATTTAATTGAATTCTTCTAAATAGGTGGGTACCTTTACAGAAGTTTCCTATGAATATCTAGCGTGGACTAAACTATACAGGTTTTATAAAGAATTTAGTGTTGTACAAAAACTGTTAAATTCAAAAATACTTATTAGTTATTACTATATTTAGAATTTACATTAGGATATATTAATATAACATTATTTTTCTGAAAATTAAATAAAATCAAAAGTATACTGTTATAAATCATTATAGCCATATTTCGACAATTATAAAAACAGTTTATTTTTATAAGTTCTTATTTTGTTCTATACCTATGTATTATCATTTTATTTTCACATACCTAAGGTTTATGTTGTAAGTTTGTGACATAAATACATAATAATATACTTAAATATGCCTATAATGATTAATTACCATTGATACGTTGGTACAATTAATTAGTAGGTACCATAGAATATAGATAATAGATTAAACATACATAGATAGCCAACGGCTGCGTGGAATTTGGAAATCATGTTCTTGGTGACAATACATGGCTCGGGTTGAGTCGGGTACAGATTCTCGGGTATTATTATATTATGTAGAAAATGTTTAGCAGCGCCATCTATTGTCACCAAATTTTTGTTTCCAAATTCTATATAGCCGTTGGCTATCTATGTATGTTTAATCTATGTTAGTACTGTTACTATTATTTTTAGGTCATAACTCATAAGTAATTACATTATTGCCTGCAGAATGATAATTGCCAAGAAATTTGAAGAAAAAAAATATTATTATTTTTTTTTTTTTTGTAACGAGAAAGTAATGAGTTACTTTTCTATTTGAAAAGTAAAGTAATATCATAACAATTTTATTTGAGTAATGAGTAAAGTAACTTAATTACATTTATCTCCAAGTAACGAGTAAAATAACTTAATTACTTTTTAAAAGTAACTTACCCAATACTGTAAATAATGAAAATGATACCTGGAAGTGTTTACTGAAAAAGCTATAACCTAGATTAGGTTACCTATAAAAGTATTATAAAATTTAAATCCAAACACAACACAAAGTTATCAAGAAATTCTTTCTTTCTTGAATGACGGTTGGATTTTCAAACATATATCGGTAACTTGTTTAATTCCACACCTACCATCGAATACCACTTACTGTGATTCTTGTATGTTGAGAATGGTAAAATGATTAAATATGAACGAGTATCATAATGGTCAATTTATATTATAATTTATAAGTAAAAACTATGCATATAAATTATAATTTTATAATACAGTGGGACATTATAGTACCTGATTTTTCTATCTTGATTATTTAAATTTATTACCTAGAAAAAATGTTTGTCAAAAATGCACTAGTTTTTAAGCTGTTTTATACTTTTATTATTAAATCAAAATTTAAATTATACATGTCAGATATGCAGCCAAATATTTCAAAAACGGCAGATTGCATAGCTGTTTAAAAAAAAAAAAATTACATTACATAATATTTTATAGTTGATCATAAGTTAATTATATAATACATAATATATTATATTTGATCATATATTAATTATATAAAATACATAATATATTTAAATATTGATAAACATAATAATTAAGAAAAGTGCATATGCATATTTTTAAATAACATAGTGCTTAATTAATAATGTTCACAATTTTAGGACTTTTGTTCTTAAAAACTTTATATATAAAACTAATAAAAATAAAAACAAAAAAATATTAAAATGAAATATTCAAGGTATACATTACTAATACTAAAAATAATATTTGTAAATCTTGACTTGAATTAAAATATATGCAATTCAGATAAAATAAAAGTTATATGCTAGTTTTTTTTGGCACATTTTTATAGGCATAGTATTTTATCATTATACAAATTGAGATTAGTTAATGTTATAAGTTTATTTAGGTACTTAATATTATAGAATACAGCTTAAGTTATTAACACTTTTAAACTGCATGTATTTGGAATAACTTGGGATTTATGTTATTACTTAAATTGTAAGTAAAAACATTAGCCCCAATAAATCCACCAAAACTTTTTGTTCCTTTATAGTAAATTCCTATTCCGGAAAGTGGCACGCCAGGAAATGGTGCTACTGTCTGCATGTCAATAAAAGGTAAAGTTGTTTGTGCAACATCACGGTCAATAGATGAATGTGTAAACTTAAGGAATTTATTTGAAGACATATCTGGTTCAGATGCAGTACTTGATTTGGTTTGCAAATCTGAATTATTTATGTCAATTTCGGTTCTGTGAGTATAAAATGATGGTTATTAAATATGATACATTTATACAACATACATATAAATATATAATATATATATATGTATATCCATAGTTTATACATATATAATAGGTATAAACACTGCAGTAAAAATAATTCACAAACCTTGGATTTATGGACAATTCAGTGTTTTCATTTCCGATCCAATAACTTTTCAACTCAGGTTCAATAAGTTCACCAGTCATAAAATCAAAAGGAGTAATGCGGACTTCAATATTAAGGTGAGATCCAATCTTTCTAAATTTTAATCCTATAGTAATTTATAAAAAAAATGTTAATTAAATATTTTGATTGTAGAAGAAATTAAAAAAGTTTCACCTGTCACAACCGTATTTTCAGGAGCAATTACATTATCAATATCAATAATGCGGGATTCATATGTTAATGTATGATAGTCAACACCATCTTTTAATGTTTTATTCTTATATGAAAACTCAGAACCGGGTACTTCAAGCCATTGTCTGGAAGATTCACTTATTCCTCCTCGAGGGCCAAGTTCACCTTCTTGGGCTTGTAAATGGAACATTTGTTTAACTTTAATGAACCTCACACCAGTTATAACCCTAAATAAAGCAGGGAACAAATTAAAAATGTAAGAATAGAAATTTAATTAATAGTTGAAGCTTACATATTTTTATCAATATTAGAAACCGAAGGTCTTAAACTGAAGTATCTATCAGAACCAGAATCATTTGAATCGCAAATGCAAAAACAGTAAGAACAATGCCAAACCAAAAATGTCCACCAGCTGTCTACCATACTTGTTGTACCTTTGCATTCAACTGATGAATCACCCAAGACTTTACCTTTTTCATATGCAATATAATCATATCGCCTACTGCTTCCAAATTTCTATAAGAATTTTTTTAATAATTATAAACTTTACATACTTCAAATAACTATTTTTTTTGAAAGTATACTTACAGATTGACAAATTCTCATGTCAGAATCAAAATACTGACAATTTAATAAACGTCCATTACAAACACGCTGTTTAGCACAAAATTGATCTCTATAACATGATTTATGTTCTGCAACTTCATAGTATGAACAGTCTTTCATGCAGCTCTGCTCTCTGTTCATATCGGCTTCATTTTCTATATAACCCTATTTAATAAAAATATATATAATTTATCACTAAATGTGTATGGTTTACATGTTATAACAAACACATTTACTTCACAATAATAGTAATTATTAGCTTATTCATATAATTGTTTATATTATACCTGTAATAACTGTGTAACTTCTGAATAAGTTGTATCCTTTACATGTTTTGCTGGGTCACATCTCCAGTATATATTACTTGCAGAAATGATTGAAGATTTTAAGGCATCGAGCTGTTCAATGATTTTTTTCTCAAAATGTTCCATTTGTTTTGTTCTTTCAAATGTAAAATTTCCTGTAAAATAATTAATTATAGAAACACCATAATATTCCTGCATAACTTTTCACAAATGGAAATAGCAAAAATAGACTACAATAATTATTATTAATGGTTAGATTTTTATAAGGGATGAATATTGTGAACGAATAAAAAAAAAAAAAAAACAATCTAAAATCAAGCTGGAAAAAAGTGTACGTAAGATTTTATGAATATCCGTATATCCTGAAGTATAATATTCTTCATTCAGCGGTTGACAGTCTTATTAAAACCATAACCAATGCGATAGAGGGTGAGCAATATTAGTTTATTACATACAAAATAAAGAGTTGTTTGATATCATTCATTCTACATATACAGCAATCCGTATTCCGTCATGGAGGATGAGATGTCTGAACTTAAATTAAAATACTTGAGTGAATAACGAAATAATAATGGTTTCAAAAAAAAAAAATCAATGTAATAAAGAGTATTTAAGAATTGATAGGTATTATATATTATTTAATTTTTAATTTTATCATCCATGCCTTCTTTTATTACAAATTGTCATCAATTACTAGTTATTGATATTAATTCCTTACTAAATCAGGGATTATCGTTATTGACTAGTCATTTTCAACATTGACTAAACGTCATCTTTTCCGGTAGCACAATGCATACCTATATATTATATATATTATTTAAGAGGCATGTTGCTGTTTTTAATACAAAATTGGTTTTTTTTTTTTAAATTTAGTAAAGAACATAAAAAAAATTTAAAAAAAGCTTGGATTGACTCATTAAGTTAGGTTAATATATTATCAACAGGTGTATAACGTATAAGGTGGGTGGTTATCTTGGGAAAGATATAATTACGTTTTTATTGGAGCTAAGAGATTATTTAGCCAGTGCAACAGATAGAAGGTCAATAATAATTAATACTTGTGTCAAAATTATTTCATTGTTATAAATAACAATGAAATAAAAATATAAATATAAATATAAATTTATATTTGTATAAATATAAATTTATATTTTATAATATTGGTTTCTTTAATTTGTATATACTATGCAGTATGTTATTCATTTATAATTAATTTAAAGGATAATTTTTAGTTTATAAGTGTTTGTTTTTAATGTGATAAGTAAAATATACAAAGTATGAATGCATACTGCGGGCACGTATCATCTACTATATTTCATTATAATCCATAATGTAAAATTTATTATAATACCTTTTCCATACGTTTGCAATAACATCCATGAATATTGCATAACAGAAAATCCTTTTAACTGAGTAAGATGCAATGTTGTGTACAAATTGAAAATCAGCTGCTGTAATGATTGTTTTTGATCACAAAGTGTATCACTATTTTCCTAAAATATAAAAGTACAAAATTATATAATAATTACCAATAAGTTTTTCCAATCTTCAATGTAAAAATTATTGACTAGAATTTACATTTAATAGAGGACAAAATATGGTACCTATCACTTAAGAGCATAAGCACCATAAAAGGTAAGGACTTGTCTCCCCTAAATTTAAGGCTTGAATGCAATTGTAAGCTAAATTGTAATGATAATATCCAAATTTAAATTTAAATTTAAAAATATTTTGTTGGATAAAAAAATAACACTATAAACATGTTCAAATGTAGAACCCAATACAATATGTTAATATATCAAATTATGACAACAAAATTCCTGTCTGGTTTATCATAATACCATTTTTAGACTTAAGTTATTTGTTTGATCTTTTCTATGACATATACATGCATAATGCAATATTATTGTATCATCCTTTTTTTGGATTTAATAGGATGTCACCGCAATATTTGCTTTTTATCTTAGACCTCGTGCATAAAAAATAAAATGTATTCACATAAATTGTTGACTATACTATACATTTCGGGCCTTATTTAAGTATACCTAATTGTTTGATTCAGTAGTCTGTACTTGTGCATATACTTTTAGGTCTAATTACTCATTACTGTAGAACCATAGTCCATAGTACCTTATACTGTAGTGTATAATTTTTATCAATATATTTAATTTAAGGAATGAACATTTATACCTTCATATTTTGTATAAACTTATAATTTCTAGTTTGTTATTTTGTAAATTCAATAAATTAAATTGAATTAAACATAAATATATATTATATATATTATATACATAATTTTGAGAGTTTGACATATCAGTTGTATATTTTATTGTTATTTGATTTTATATTTGACTTTAAAAATTAAATAATTTGTTTTGAACCAATATTAAATTTAGACAGATCAAAATATGTCTACTGCCAAAAATGTTATAATATATTATTTTTTTAATAGGTGGTTTTACTCTACTCAAAATCATAAAAAAAAAAAATATTTTGCAAGAATATGTTTTGTCTATATTGCACATGGGCCAGAGAGAGAAAACAAAGGGACTGCTATCATCTTAACTATAGTGTTATTCTGGTGTGCCATTCAATATAGGCTATTAGTCTGATCAGTCATCACTCATCAGATAAGAAATACTTTGGTTCAGTAAATAAGAATTTAGATTCTTTGGTGTCCTACTACCAGTTATTATTTAAAACGCTCAGAATCTAATATAATATACAGGTATTCCTAAATAACCTAATGATATATCATATATCAATGTTATATTAATACTATACTCATATTATATTATGTCAATATAGTTGATATAATAGTATAACAATTTACTTTTTCAGTTTAATATAATATTATCAATAAGGCTGGGATTTAAACGCCCTTTCAAAAAATGCAAGTATGACTTAAACATTTAAAAAATATCCTGAAAAATGCCCAAAATTCTTCGGAAATTAAGATAAATTTTCGAATCGTTTTATTTAAAAACCAGATCACCTTTTGTTGTTTTAGTATATTATGTATGTTTTTATATTAAGTTATATATATTTTTAGATTTTAGTGGAGGGAGAATGTATTGATTTTACAATGATGTGTGTTTTTTTATTTTTTTTGTGTCTGTGTACACGATAAGTAGTCGAAATAATGCTTCGATTTTCAACTTCAGTATCTTGTTCGATTGGAACGTGAATATCGTTGGTACATTGGGGAGGTCAAAATTTAAATTTCCCAGTAGTTTTCAAAAGCGCCGGGAAAAACAAAAGAAAAATTAAGAAAAAACGGGAATTTTTAAGCAAAATCTGTTTTCGAGAAAATCGATTTTGGTTTTTGGTGTAACTTTAAAACAAATTACCGTAGATACATGAAATTTTGAGTGGTTGTTTATATTTGCATTTTCTATACACGATAACATTTTCAAAATATTTTGAACTGTTTAGGGACATTTTCAGTTTCCAATTTTATTAATTTTTTTTTAATGAATATCAATAAAAATACTCAACAATTTAAAAAATTTTAATTTTGATTTTAATTAAAATATATTAATTTATTTTAATTTAATTTTTTAATTTTTTTTGAAAATTTAATACAAGGCTCCTACTATATTGTTTCAAAGACAGATGGAAAATATTAAAAATCGTTAGTCACAGTTTTTTTTTTTAAGCATTTAAAATTCAAAAAATGACAAAATATGGAAAAATCACGAAAATTTGCAAATTATTTCGAGTTAGAAATTCATAAGAATTTTTCTTTTAAATCTAAGATATGAAAATGTAATACAAGATTCCTTATAAGACTTCCTACATTTATCAAAAAAAAAAATTCTATAAGAAAGTCAAATTAAATTTTTATGAGCGTTTGAAATTCAAATTTTTACAACATTGGATATTCACTCAATTTCTCATGTGGCGATTTCCTTATTTTGTTGTAATTCAAAAACGAATTACTGTAGATACATGAAAATTTCACTGAATGTTTATATTGTTATAATAGCAATTGAAAAATAGTAAAAATACATAGGCACAATTTTTTTTATAAGCATTTAAAGATCGAATTTTGACAAAATTTATCAAAATCTCGAAAATGATCAATCATTGTAATATTAATAAATTATAAAATGTTCGGTTTTTATAGCTAAGGATTGCAAATTTAGAACAAAGGTTCTCATAAATAGTTCATACTGTAACCAAAATATCTAAAAAATATATGAACAGAGTTATTTTTTACAGACATTTTAAATTCAAATTTGGACGAAATTACATAATAAAAAACCAAGAATAACTATTTTAGTTATTTTGTTGTGATTGTATAATATTATTCGTGGGTACAAGAAACTTCTAAAGTATACTACTATATATCTATGATAGTATCAGCCATCAGGGTTTGTTGTCGGTGTATAGGTAACGCGTTATAAGTACCTAATGGATATTGTGATATATGATTAATTTGGAATTCATTATAGGTCATTTTTTTTTAATACCATTGATAAGTTTATAATATGTCTTATACCTAGAAGGACATACCGTCTCCGCTCAGAATCGTTTTTCTTATACAATGATATTATATCATTGAATTCAAATATAAAATACCATCCATTATACAGTGACCCACTTGGAACCTACTATACAGCAGAGCGACACCTACTTGCCCACCTTTTTTTATTTGTGTCTGTGTACAAGATAAGTATTCGAAATAATGCTTCGATTTTCAATTTCAGTATCTTGTTCGATGGGAAAGTGAATCGAGTTGGTGCATTAGGGAAATCCCAGTAGTTTTTAACAGCGCCGAAAAAAAAATTAAGGAAAAACGGGAATTTCTACGCATTTGGTTTCCGACCAAATCGATTTTGGTTTGTGGTGTAATCCTAAAACTAATGACCATACATAGATACATGCAATTTTCACAGAATGTTTATATTACCATTTGCTACACACCATGTACAATTTTTAAAATATTGTGACTGATGTTAAGGTATTTATAGACATATGTAACTTTTAGAATTTTATTAGTTTTATTTATCAATTAGTGTCGATAAGTTTGAAGTTCAAATTTTTACAGCATTTGATATTCACTTGACTTCTTATGTTGTTGTAATCAATTCAAAAACAAATAACCGTAAGCACATGAAATTTACACCATACAGAGAGATGCATAAGTCAGTTCCAGCTGTTCTGTTATTGAAAATCTGCTTATTATTATTAAATTGAGGAACCGACTTTGCTACAGCCTGCTTTGTGTTTATTTTATAATTTTCTATACTTGATAAAATTTTCAAAATATCTAGAGCTGTTTACGGGCATTTTAAATTTTTTTAGTTTTTTTTTTATGATTGTTAATAAAATTTATATTTTTTGGTAAAAAGCGTGAAAATTGAATACAAGGTTTCACGTAAATAGGTAAATAAATTACTTTAGTCATAAAATTATCATCAAAAGTACCATAGGCTAACCGTCTTCGCTCAGAATCATTTTTCGTATACAATGATATTATTATATATTATCATTGAATTAAAATTTAATACCATCCATTACAGTGATATACTTGTAGCCTATAATGTACAGAAGAACAAGACCCACTTGCCCACCTTTTTTTTTTAATATTACCTACTAGAAATAGGTTAACTATCTAAAAACAATAACGCCAAAAAAGTTTTTTGTTTACATAGCGTGTACTTAAACCACATTTTTATTTTGGAAAGCATCGTGTCAAGTTTGTATTGTTGATACGTTTTAACTAACAAAATTAGTGAAATATGTTCTCACATTAAAATTATTTATATTATAAAATTTAGATAAAGTTGTATTATGCATGGCTAAAACATACACTGGTATGATCTCAAGTTGAGAACTTGGACGAAATATCGTACAGTCGGCGCTTGGTCGGCTAAAACATGTTTTTATTATTACTAGGTATGTTTAATTATGACGTAAGTCTGTTTTCGTTTTGAGGTAGACAATTATACTAACAAACAGACAGCATGATTTAACACAGATGCATAGAACCAAGTTGAGAACATACCAATGACAACACACAACAAAAATGGTGTTTGCTCAATATTGATTACCTATGTTGTAATTTTAATCTGTAACAGAATTAATCAATACTATTTTCTTTATCCTTATACCTTTATGGATAGTACAATGTAGTATTATATACACACACAGGAAATCGATTATATCGACATCGACTTTTACGTCGGCAGTTCAACACTTATGCACTGGTAAAGCGATTAAAATGTCTGTCTCGAATATTTTCCCAATATTTCGATGTTAAAATAATATATAAGATTAAAATAAAATGTTGTGCCTACTACCTAGTCATAATGATGAAGCTGAATACTAATACAACAATTAAATAAATTACTTTATTCACAATAATATCATAAAAAATACTTAATAATACCATAGGCTGACTTCGCTCAGAATCGTTTCTCGTATACAATGATATTATGTCATTGAATTCAAATTTAACACGATCTATTACAGTGACCCACTTGTA